GCCGCGGCTGCTCATGGGCCGCTTGCAGTGGCTGCAGTTGACGTGCAGCGTGGTGGAGGCCTGGTTGAGGCAGCTGACGGCGCGGCTGGTGCTGAGCTTCACCACCTCGTTGGACACGTTCCAGAGGCAGAAACGCTGCAGCAGGTCAATGTAGGACGTGTACCAGTGCTCCTGGGGGCACACGGGGGCTCAGCTGGGCTGTGGGGAGGTGGGTGGGGGCTCACCGCGCGCACGCACGCACCTGGGTCTGCTCGTCGATGTCTCTGCGCACGCGCTCGCCCAGCACCACCAGCACCGACACGGCCATCTGCACATCGCCCTGCTCGGCGTAGAAGCGCAGCATGTCACACACCAGGGAGCTGAAGAAGTCGGGGGGCAGGCGGCTATCGTGCAGCGCATGCGAGACGGAGAGGAGCGAGAAGGAGGGGTCTGCCGGCGCCAGGGAGGCCGCCTCCGCCTCGCTGCCGCTCACGTGCGGGGACTCGGCCTTGTCCTGCAGGTGCTCGGGCCCGGGTGGCGTGTCCACGATCTCATGGCGCAGGGGAAAGGCCTCCTGGGGCAGCACATACTCTGGCTCCTCGGCTGCAGGCCGGGACCGGGTGGGCGGGGTCAGAGCCTCCCGGGCCCGCCCTGTCTGTCCCCGCCCCACTCCTCAGGCCCCGCCCCGCCCTGCCCCGCCCGCCGCTCACAGTGCGCATGCTCTGGGTCCAGCAGGTAAAGCTCGTCCTCCTCGCCCTCCACGTCCCCAAGCAGGTAGTCGGCCGGCACGTCGCTGCCCTCGGTCTCCTCGTTATCTGCCCAGCCAGGGAGGGAGGGCGTTCCAGGGCGCTAGATCCGGGGGCCCGGCCCCACCCCCCAAGGCTGCCCTACCCTCGGTGGTGATGAGTGAGGTGGAGGGGTCCAGCAGAGCTGTGTCGCTGCGGGTGTCGCCCTTGCTGCGGTCCAGCCGGGTCTCACTGCCCAGGCCTGGGGTCACATCCTTCAGGCTGAAGCTGGGGGCAGGGAGGGCAGCAGTGGGTGGGCTCCAGAGCTCCCCCTCCGGGGAGAGCCGCCCCCAATCTACCTGTTCACCAGCTGCAGGCCGCAGGTGCTGCCCTTGCCCACGCTGTGGTTGAGGCTGGCGGCGGGCACCAGGCCGGGGCTGCAGTAGATGATCCGCAGCATGGTCCAGGTCTGTGCCACCTAGGGGCGGGCTTGGTCACTTACAGGGCCCGGGCCCCAGCAGGCCAGGGACGCCCGAATGGTCATGAGCCCTCAGGGTCGCGCTGCCCGGGGAACCCATGCCTCGGTGCACCTCTGTGAGAGCCAGCCCCACGGGGAAGGAGTCCTGTCCTCCACCCTGTGGAAGGGGAGGAGCAAGTGGACGGCAGCCACGTGGCCTCCACAGGGCCCGGGAGACCCGACAGCAGACGTCGGCCCGAGTCGGGCCGCAGCCTCATGACACGCGGCCTGCCGCTGCAGGCCCCGGCCGAGGCCAGCAGAGCCGTGGCCAGAGCCAGCGCCCGCCGCGCCCCACCCGTCGCCCCCCTACCTGGTTGCGGCCGAGCTCCCGTGCCACTTTGGCGTTGTGGTCACAGAGCTCAGCCAGCGGCCGGCCGGCCAGCGCGTAGCGCTCGGCTGTGTCCACGAACCAGCTCATGCCGCCACCGCCAGGCTCCGTCTCAAAGACGCTGAGGGCGCTGGCGGCCAGCCCCGAGAAGGGCTCGGCGGGGTCCGGCTTGCGCTTGAAGAAGATGGGGTGGCGCCGGTCGCCGGCGTAGGGCTTGCGCCCCGGCTCGCTGGCCACCAGGCTCTCCTTGGCCGCGAAGGCCAGGTCCCCGAAGAGGCCGTAGCAGAGGCCCTCCGGGTTGGCGCGCTCCACGGGCTGGCTGGCGTCACGGAACAGGTGCTGGCGCAGCGTGCTGTCCTTGGAGCCGGACAGCAGGAAGGAGGGGTCGTGCGGGTGGCGCCAGGCGATGCCCGTGGTGACGTCACGGTGCTCCTCGAACATGGCGGCCGGCACGAAGGGCCTGCGCACGTCCCACACGTAGATGTTGTGGTCCACCATCATGGAGCAGGTGGCCAGATGGTGGCGGCACTCCGGCCGCCACTTGACGCGGGCCACGGAGGCGATGGTCTGCACGCAGTGCACCTCCTTGGCGCGGTGTGTGGTCACGTCCCAGACCTTCACCATCTTGTCGCGCCCGCCGGTGGCCAGCCAGCCCCTGTGGGGGGGGCGCCGGGGCTCAGCGTCGGGCCCGGCCACGCAGCGTCCCCTCCCGCCGAGTGCCGCCCCCCGCGCCCCGCCCCGGGCACGCACCGATCGTCCGGGTGCCAGTCACAGCAGAAGACGGGCCCGTTGTGGGCCGTGAACATGCGCTCGCAGCGGTCGGGCCTCCGCACGTCCCACAGCTGCACGTTCCCGTTCTCGAAGGTGGAGGCGAAGGTGAAGTAGTCCCGCACGCTGAACTGCACGTCCCGCACACTCTCGGACTGGCCTGGGCGGGGAGAGGCCGGCCTGGGGCACCGCCACGGCTGCAGGTGCCAGGCCACGTGGTGCAGGGGGGCGGGCGCTGCAGGCTGCCAGGCGGCCACTGGCGAGAGGCTCCGAGAGGCTTCGGAGGGAGCGAGGCCCAGGCATGGGGCTGCCCGCCGCCACTCCAGCCCGGCGCCTCTGGGCTCCACCGTCGATCGTGGCCAGGCTGTGGCCTGGACTCAGGACGGGGCAAGAGGCCCACGGGGGGCCGACGACATGCCCCTTCTTGTGCGAGGACCCTAGGGATCCAGCCCTCTGCGGCCGGCTCACAAGCCTCGCGGTTCCCCACCCCGCGGCGCGCGGCCGCGCCCAGGACCCCCACCCTTGCCGGGGCTCTGACAGCGCCGCCTACCGGAGAAGGTGCTGACCGAGTCCTTGCGCCGCAGGTCGAAGCACTTCATGAAGCCGTCCTGGGAGCCGCTGAGCAGCACGTGCGCCTCGCTGGGGTGGAAGCAGACCTTGTTCACCGTGCGCTTGTGCTCCGTGAACAGCTGGTCCTGCTTGTTGCGGGACGGGCGGCCCAGGTTCCACGTGACCACCACGCCGTTGGTGGCCGCCGTGGCCAGCAGGTTCTCGTCGATCTGGTGCCAGACCACGTCGGCACAGCTGAGGTTGAGCGAGGGCTTGCGGCCGACGCGCAGGTTCAGCTTCTCCACGAACTGCTCCTCCTCGATGCCGTAGATCTTGAAGATGCTGCGGCCCGCCACGACCACCTGGGCGGCGTCCCTGCACACGCTGATGGCGTTGGCCGGCGCGTCCAGGTGGCAGTGCATGGTGCGGCCGGTCAGCGCGGTGCCGGCCAGCGCCGTCGTCACACGCGCCATCTTCTCCATGGCCGCGCGGTGCGGGCAGGCGCCGCCGGGGC